TTTCTCTCTGGCAGTAACTTTTTCTCTCTCTTTCAACTCTCTCCTAAAGTCAAGGTTGCAAACCTCTTCAGGGGCATCCTGAGTAGTTTGTATTTTGTCTTTGTATGCTTGAATACCATTTTCAGAGTTGGTTCAAATCACCTTCTCCTTTTCCTTTTCCACCCTTTGCAGGTTCAAAAGTTAGCCTGGCTGCTGTTGTCATCATGTATGTTTTGCCAAGGTTCAGTGCAGCAGTCTCTGGAAATCATACAGATGTCATTAGTCACTCTTTGCTCTCCATTCCTCTTTTTTTTTTTTTTTGGAGAGGTTGCGTGTGCGCTCGCCAGAAAGAGAGAAAGAGAGACAGAAATGAAGAAAACACTACCCAGGGGGATGGCCACACCACAATCCCTTCTCCTTCATTCTCCTCTCAGGATCTTGGGCATGCACACACATGTACCTGGCGTGAGTTTAAGCCACTCAGTTCTGGGACTTGAACTGCAGTTGACTACATGGGAATCCAGTGAAATAGCCATTGTACCAACTGCTGGTCCCCCACCCCTCTTTTTAAAGATTTTTTTTTTGCCATAGGGTGAGTATTCTCACCAGAGAGAGACAGAGACAGAGAGGGAAAGTGAGAAATCACCCCCTAGAGGGATGGCCACACAGTAATCCCTTTCCCTCCATTCTCTTCTTGGGATTTTGGACATGCACATACATGCACCTAGCATGATTTTCAAGCCACCAGGTCTGGGACTTGAACTGTGGAGTTAGCCATGCAGGATCTAGCAACCTTAACATTCACACCATCTGCTAGTCCTTTTTCTATTTTGATCTTTATTTCCTTTCTTATGCTTGCTTGGGGTTTGCCTTGCTCCTGGTTTTTGTTTGTTTGTTTGTTTTCGTTTTTTGGGTTTTTTTTAAGAGAGATTTTTGCTATAGAGCGTGTGCACTTGCTGGAGAGACAGAAAGACAGAAAGTGAGAAATCATCTCCCAGGGGAGATGGCCATGCCACATTCCCTTCTCCTCCATTCTCTTCTTGGGATTTTGAGAACGCATGCACACATGCCCAGCATGTTTTAAACTGCTGGGTCCGGGACTCAAAGTGTGGCCAACTATGTGGGAGTCCAATGACGTAACCATTATGCCATCTGCTGATCCCGCTGGTTTTTATTTTAAAATTATTATTATTATTATTATTTGCACTCATTGGAGAGAGAGGGAAATTGAAAAATTACTTCCCAGGGAATATGACCACACTGCAGTCCCTTCTCTGCTCTTCCTTAGGGATTTTGGGGATGGACATACATGGGCCTGGTGTGTCTCTCAAGCCACTGGGTCTGGGACTCAAACCATGGAGTCAGCCATGTAGGATCCAGCACTTTAAACCCATGCCACCTGCTGACCCTCTTTCTTCTTCTTCTTAGTTTTTTTTTTTTTTTTTTTTTTTTTTGCCGTAGGGTGCATGTACTTGTTGGAGAGAGACAGATGAAAAGTGGGAAATCACCTCCAAAGGAAGATGGTCATCCCTTCTTCTCTTGGGATTCTGGGCACACACACACACTCATCTGGTGTGATTTTCAAACCACTAGATCCAAGACTCAAACTGAAGTCAACTATGTGGGAGTCTAGCACCTTAACCACCATGCCGCCTATTGGTCCCTCTTCTTCATTTTTGAGATTTATTCATTTAATTTATTATTATTATTTTTAAAAATTTTGTTACAGGTCATGCACACTCATGAGAGAGAGAGAGAGAGAGCTAGTCACCAGGTCCAGGACTTGAACCACGGTTGGCCATGTGGGAGTCCAGCACCTTAAACAATATGCTACCTGCTGACCCCTCACTTCTTCTTTAATATGGCCATTCACACTAAAAATTTCCCTCTAAGTGTAGCTTTAGCTGTATCTCATAAATGTTGATATACTGTGAGGTTTTTGTTTTTTGTTTTTCAATTTGCCAGAGGTTGCATGTGCTCCCTGGAGAGAGACAGAGAGGGAAAGTGAGAAAGCATCCCCCATGAGACATGATCATAGTGCAACCCCTTATCTTCCATTTCTTTTCTTTTTTTTTTTTTTTTGGAGAGGTTTTCACTATAGGGCACGTGCGCTCGCCAGACAGAGCCACCGGGTCTGGGACGCGAACCGCGGTCGACTATGTGGGAGTCCAGCGACATAGCCATTACGCTAACTGCTGGTCCCTCATCCATTTCTTCATCCTTTTGGGATTTTGGGCACCTATGTACAGGTGCCTGGCGTTTCTCAAGCCACTAGGTCTGGGATCTGAACTGTGTAATTGGCTATGTGGTATTCAGCTACCTTAACCAACATCCCATGGGCTAGCCCTAGTATACTATGCTTTTTTTTTTTTTGAGATTTATATCATTTTATTTATTATCATTTTAAAAAATTTGACCAGAGAGAAGGGTGGGTGGTGAAAAAGCAAGCCACCAGGTCTGGGACTCGAACCTTGGTCAGCCATGTGGGAATCAGCACCTTAACCATCACACCACCTGCTAGCTCCTATGTGTTTGTTTTTATTTTCATTCATTTCAAAGTGTTTTCTAATTTCCCTTGTGTTTTTTTTTAATTGACTTTATTGAGGAATGTGTTAATTTCCACATAAGAGAGGAAAAGTAAGAAATCACCTGGAGGGGGGGATGTCCATCCATAATCCCTTCTCTATTCTCCACTTAGGATTTTGGACATGCGCATCTATGCACCCAGTGTGATTTTCCAGTTACAAAGTCCAGAACTCAAGCCATGATTGGCCATGTGGGAGTCCAGCATCATTAAAAAAAATATTTTATTTAATTTTATTCATCATTATTTTTAAAAATTGGACCAGAGAGAGAAAGTGAGAAAGCAAGCTACCAGGTCTGGGACTTGAACTGCTGTCAGCCAGATAGATGTCCAGTGCCTTAATCACCATGCCATCTGCCAGCCCGGAGCCCAGCATCCTAAACATCATGTCACCTGCTGGTCCCTGGCTCTCTGTTACTGATTTCTAATTTTACCCGGCTGTGACCAGAGAATACATTGTATTATTTCAGTCCTTTTAAATCTACTGAAGACTACTTTATGGCCTAGCATATGGTCTGTCCTACAAAATGTTCTTGTGAACGTCAGAAAAATGTGTATTTTCCTGCTGTTGATTGCTGTGATCTACAGAGGTTAGTTTTATTGTTGTCGTTGATTTTGTTTGTTTGTTTGTTTTGTTTTTGTTTATGCTATAGAATGCATGCACTCATCAGAAAAGGGGAGAGGAGAAAGCACCTCCTTGGGGTATGGTCATCCAAAATCTCTTCTCTCTCATTTTTCCCTCCTGTCAGTATTTCAGGGTTGTATGCACACACACCTAATATGTTTCTCAAGCAGCTTGGTTAGAGACTCGAACCACTTGGTTGATCATGTGGCATCTGGCTGCCTTATCCACTGAGCCAGGGAGCTGGTCAGGTTGATTTTTATTTTATTGCCACAGGGCCCATGTACTCACTGAAGAGAGTGTGGGCAGAAGTTTGATGGCTTTTTCCTATTTTTCCAGAATCTTTTCCAGAAGGCCTAGAGGGAGTCACACCCACAAATGTTAACAGACCATTTTAACTCATTAGTAACAGGATTCTTCCTACATCCTGCCCTTGGCATAGTATTGGAGTATCTTTGTGACATATATTAAGCCTCCTAATCACTGTTTAAATACATTCCTTTCTGATCTCAGCAACCTTCCTTTTCCAATCACCACCCTAAAAACTGTAAAAACCACCTATAACCTATAAGGCACCCCCCCCCCCCTTTTAACCCCCCTATAACCTATAAGGCCCCCCCCCCCCCTTTTGGGCCAAACCAATGGAAAAACTTTTCACTAAATTCCAAACTCTGTCTCTCTCTCTCTCTCTCTCTCAAAATCAAATAAAAGGAACCCTTGTATCTGATCACCCCGAGAAAAAGGCATGTTTTGCTTCCTCTCTTAGAAATAAACTGCATTAAGTATTATTTTTACAGAGTTGGCTATTTTCCCTGAGGCAGAAAGAAGAGAGGGAGAAAGCACCTGCAAATGAGGTGTTTCACTGCAATCTCTTCTCCACTTCTCCATCCTGCTGGAATACGGGCACACATGTACATCTGCTGGCACATCTCCCAAGCTGCCAGTGCCGGGATTCCAACAGTGATTGCTACCAGTAATCTGTTTTTTCCAACAACCAGACCTTGGCCTGGTATATAGGTTGATTTTTTTTTTTAATGTGCTACAGGGTGCCTGTACTCACCAGAGAGAAAAAAATGAGAAAACACCTCTCACCACCCCTGTAGGGGTAATACCCACAATCCCTTCTTCATTCTCTTCTGGGGATTTTGGGCACGCACACACAACCAGCATTTCTCAAGTCTTAGGGTCTGGGACTCCAACCACATTGTTGGCCATGTGGGTTTAA